AGGAAATAACCCAAATTGTTGGAAAATATATGCTCATTGTAGAACAACTCGTAGCAGGAGAAATCCTAAAAACTTAAATTATATATGAAGAAGGAAATGGCTGTCTTGTTATGGTACATTTATAGAATGAATACCATGTAAATAATTAAATTTATATGCTCAAAAATTTTGAATGATACGGGGCAATGTTTTTGATAAATGCATTATGTAAAAGATTATCAAATATACATTTTTGTTATGTATCCCTAATGTTGAGAACTCCACAAAGTTAGATGGAGAAAAATAGGTAAATTCCTTACATTTTAAGAACTTTTCATAATTTGTAAATGTGACAGATATCTAGAAATATCAACAGTATTTATATATTTAATAGTTTTTGTTTTTCTTTTAGAGACATGACATCTTTTAGGCCAATCTCGACTTGAATTTATGATCCTCCTGTCTTAGCCTTCTGAACCCTGGAGTTACAAGCACAGCTAGTGATATTATTGTCAAGGCTGAATGTTGAGTGTGTGATGAATGTTACTGATTGCCAACTTGACAAAGTCTAGGCTCAACAAGGAACGAAGCCCTTGGCCTTACCAGTAAGGAAAAAATATAGGCTGGGTTAAGCCCTGCGAATGCCCATGAGAGATTTGCATGACTGAGTTACTAGAAATGTGGAGGCACACCTTGAATGTGGGTGGTATCACTCTTTGGGAGTAGGTTCTGGATGGTGTGCAAAGGGAAAAATGAGCTAAGCACCAGGCCTCACTGCTCTCTACTTTCTGACGGTCGATGAAGTGTGACCTTACTCCCACCACCAGCGGTTCCCTGCCAAGGTGGATTATACTCTCAAATCGTTAGACAAAATAAACCCTCCAGGCCCTTAACTTGCTTTTGTCAGGTATTTTATTTTTTTGTTTTTTTTTTTTTTTGAGACAGGGTTTCTCTGTGGTGTTGGAGCCTGTCCTGGAACTAGCTCTTGTAGACCAGGCTGGTCTCGAACTCACAAAGATCCACCTGCCTCTGCCTCCCGAGTGCTGGGATTAAAGGCGTGCGCCACCACCGCCCGGCTGGTATTTTAGTATAGTAGCAGGAAAAGCAATAATACAGATGGGGAGCTAAATGTTTCCATAATTTTCCCCAGAAACTCTCGGGATCATTCCTGTTCTGGAATGATCTAAAAAATCACTTACACCTGTGACCACAAACTGTTTCATGTTTTTGTTAAAAAGTTTATCTGATGGTTTCATTTTAGTTCAGGAGAGCCATTTTCTTCTCTGCTTTATTTTAGGACTTTGTTTTTCTTTTCTTTTTTTACACAAGAGATGACATCCTGGCTTTGTTCCATATACAGTGAGTAGTTGAAATGGCTTCCATTGGACAATACATTTTTGGAAAATGATTTCAAGTAAATAGAAATCAGGCTTGCTATTTTAAGTCACAGCACTATTCCTGAAGTGTGTTCCTACCGCGTAGCTTTTGTACCAGAGACAACACCTCTGATGCTTGTTTTAAAACGTAAATATCCTAGGGGGAGTTGTAGTTCATTAATAGAGGGTAAGTGTTCTTAGGTTCAGTCTGGAGAGAGAGAGAGAGAGAGAGAGAGAGAGAGAGAGAGAGAGAGAGAGAGAATGTTTCAGAAAAGGCCTCCCAAGAATTTGTATTTTTGAAGACATACCCTAAGAATTCACTAATAAAACTAAAGATCCAGGGTTGAGATTGCCTGGCAGGTAGGGTGCTTGCTGCGTAAGCATGAGAACCAGAGTTCTTATCCTCAACACCCAAGTAAAAGAGGCTGTCATGGTCACCCATCTGTAACTGCTGTAAGGAGACAGGAGAATTGCAGAGATTCATTGGCCAGCCAGTCTAGCATGGTGGACCTAAGGTTCAAGGAGAGACTCTCAGAAAATAAGATGATCTAAGATGACACCCAAGACAGATATGCAGCTTTCACAGGCATGTGTGCACACACCCCACCCCCACAAGCACGAGCACGCAAACACCATGTCCACACAAAAGTCAACAGATTAATAATAAGTAACCATTAGTTGTGGGGGTGGGGAGATTTGATATTTAAAAATCCCTGCCCAGGCTCTTGTCTGCCTTATATTTCTGGACAGAAGAGTAGAGCAGTTTTCAGTTGCATGAATTCAAGATCCAAAACACCTTTTTCCTATCAGATAATCAGGATTGGAGCATGAGGTCTATAGACTGCTTCCCAGTCATCCTTAGAGATTTCAGCTGGGCTTTCACTGAAAGGACAGTTGGCAGACTTAAGATCCCTGGGAAGCATGGACAGAGTGATGGCATTCAGGGTTGGGTTGAGCTGGACCTCTCTGTGTGCTGTGCTCACCCTGATAACTGCTCAGGAGAGCACACCTCTTCTGTGTGCAACCTTATTTTCTCACTGCTGTGACCAAATGTCCTGCAGAAACAACATAGTAGAGAAAGGGTTTCCCTTGTTCATGGCGTCAGAGGGTTCCTTCTGTGGTTATGGGGCTGACTCTGTGTGGGCAGACATCATGATGGGTGCGGCAGCATGTGGGAGACAGAACTGCTCACCCATGTCAATGTCAAGCAGAGAAGGACGTGGAGAGCAGCCATTTAAAAGCATGTCCCCAGTGACCTGCTCCTGCCAATCAGGCCCAGGCTCTAAACATTTCCAGAAACTCCCCCAAATAGTGACATTACCCGGAGACTAAGTAGTCAAAGCTAAAGATTTTGCTGAGGGAGGGGAGCATTTCATGTCCACATCATCACACGATGATCCAACAGGCCTCTCCAGATAGTTGGTCCCACAGAGGATGATCTGTAGTCATTTGTGCCAGCTACTTAAGCTAGTCTGAATGATGAAATGTAATTTCTGGGGGGGAGGGTGCCATGGCCTCAGGGGCCTCCAGGAGGTCCTGAGTCTGTAGCTTTTATGAGCAGGATGAATATCCTTATAAAACAGGATCCGGAAGGCATGCTCCTTCCAAGTTGTGCTGTATAACAAGGAGCATCATCCAGTGAGGAATCAGGCCTTCCCTAAGCATTAACTCAGCCTACATCTCGACCCTGAACCAGCCTCAGACTAGTGAGCACTGGTTTAGTCAGCTTCTCCTTTTATGATAATTATTTTGAATTTTACTTCATTTTGTGTGCATGGAGTTGGGGACAGGGGTTCCTGTGGAGGTTGGACGTATTGATGCTTCCCAGCATGTGTGTCCTGGGGATGGAGCTCAGGTTCTGACATGGTAGCAGGTACCTTTCAGGCTTAGTAGCAGGCACCTTCATATGCCAAGCCATCTCACAGGCCCACACTCCATAGGCTTTGGCTGTAGCTGTCTGAACAGACTAGACTAAGATGTTACATGTCTTGATAATGTGAGAACTCGAAACCTTAGTTTTTTTTTAAATATAAAATGGGGCTAATACTAGAACCAGACAGATATGAAATACTGTATGTAAAACATTTAGTACAAAGCTTGCGATGAAGTATTAGGTTTATAGAGCCTGCGATTCTAGAAGCCCAGAGATTTACTGCAATTCCACATCTTCTTTAAGGGGATAGGGAGGGAGCAGGAAGGAAGTGGAAGCAGCTTTACTAATACCCTTCATTTTTATTTTATGTGTCTGAGTGTTTTTCTTGTGTGTGTATGCAGTGTTGTGCACCATCAGTATACAGCACCCCAGAGTGTAGGTGGAGTTTTCTTGTCCCAGCAACCACCTGCTCCCAAATAACTGGCAGCTGCTTTCCAAATAACTGACTGGAGACTTAATATAAATTATAAATGCTTGTCCAATAGCTCAGGCTTATTTCTAACTAACTGTTTTGGCTTAACTAATTTCTATTGATCTATGTGCTGCCCCGAGGCTTGCAGCTTTTGCTTCTGTCCCATTTGGTGGGTGTTTCTGACTCATTCTCCATTTGGCTTGCAACTTCTCTGATTCTGCCCTTTTTTATCCCAGCATTCTCTCTGTTTCAGGCTGTCTCACCCAATTTCTCCCTGCCCAGCTATCGGCCAATCAGCTTTTTATTAAAAGTGAGAACAATAATATTTACAGTGTAAATACATATTCACAGTGTATAGGGTTATTTCATAGCACCAGAAGAAACCTAAGACTGAAGTTACAGGCAATTGTGAGTCATCATGTGGATGCTGAGAATTGAATCCAGCTCCTATGGAAGAACAGCCAGTGCTCTTAACCATTTCTCTAGCCCCATAACTGAGAGATTTGAGGTTAGTTTATTTCAAAGGATATCCAAACCCAATGTTATTTATTAATGTCCACCCATTTCTCAATGTTCTCAGACTGAATGGAATAATGTGAAGTAGCATTTTCAGAGTGAGGTGTGTGAGTAAACCTACTCAAGTCCAAAAAGAGGCTAAATTTACAAATATCTAGGCACATAGGCACACAGGTACACAACCACACACACAGAGACACACAGAGACACACAGAGAGACACACACACAGATGCACACAGATACAGATACACCAAGACACACAGAGACACAGACACATACAGGGAGAGACACACAGACACAGAGAGAGGGCGAGACACATACACACACAAACATCACCCCACAGACACACAAACAGATGCACACAGATACAGATACACAAAGACATACACACAGACACACACACACACACACAAACACACACACACACAAACACCAGACACAAACACCCCCCACAAGCATATGCAAAGATACACATAGACACACACAGGAATCACAGTCTTAAGCATGGCTGCCTTCACATTATCAAGTTACTTTAGGCTCTAATAAGAATTTCTTAATTTGTGACATGACCATTAACATTATGGAATGTATTTACCCCCTCCCCTATAATGCCATGTTGTGAATACTATCCCTATAAGATTTTTCTTATTCTTTCCCCTCTTTAGGATTGCATGGGACTCATGACAGGCTAATTACCAGTCCAAGAACCTCTCAGCTACATGCAAGTACCCACTCCCCAAAAAACCAAACATTTAGATTGAGACAATGGCCAGGAGCAAGCCTTTATATGATCCAGTTGCACAACACACTTCTGGAGTAAATGACGTATCCTAACTTGGGGTACATCACCAGATTCAAGTCAGAGAGGATCCTCTGCCAATCAATCAAAGTGCGAGTCACTGGAAGATCCCTCCGGAGAATTTTCCTCAGGGCTTCATTTGACAGCTCTTGCAGTTCTTCTAAGACTGCAGCTTGAAACTTATTTTCTTGTTCTTCCACAAGCCTTGCAAAGCTGAGAGCCAACTGGGCTTGATTGACCACCTCCAGGCTTTCCTTCAGATCCTTGGAGATTTCAACATGAAGGTTGACACATCTGAAGTAGTGAGCTTGCACAAAAATCCGTCCAGTTACTTGGGTTAAAAATGGGTTTACCTGGAAGATCCATTTAGACTTCCAAAGACCATTCCAACAATATCCATTGTCATAGCTGTGGTCTTCGATGCAAGCAATTAAGAATTCCTTGCATTTGACTGTCTTTCTCAGCACATTGCAATTTCCACTTGGGTAGTGATCGTTCACGTAGAGTTTTAAGGCACACAGAACAACAGATCTCAGGTACTCAGTCTCATTCCGAATGATTCCGTGGCTTTGGATATCTCTCAGCTGATTCTGAAGCAGATCAAACCTGAAAGAAAGTTTGCTCTGATAATCAAAGAACCGGAAGTCACCCATCACATTGTGGTGAGACAGGAGCACTGGGTTGCCATCGATGCAGAGTGGCACGCAGTATTTTTGGCAGTGCTGATGGCCAGCGCACTCACCCTGATGGTGCATGAGCTTCTCATCGCGGATAAGCAGACAGAGATCATCAAAGGCGTTCACGAACTCCCCAGGAGGAGCCTGGATTAAGAGTCTGCGGATGACTTTTTCTTTCTCTTTCCTACTCAAGACACAGAGTGACATGTCTAGTTGCAGCAGAAGCAGAGCTTCTGAAACAAGTGGTGTTCACAGGGTGGGAAAGCGATCCATGGGACACCTTGCCCTTCAAGGTGTTAATCATTTAAGCTTAAGATCAATATGTGTGAGCAAGAAGATGGGCACTCCGTCAAGCTCTGTGTCTCCTGGTGAAGTCACAGAGAAGCATGCAACTTCAAATGATGTCACAATGCGTGCTCAGAACCGAAGAAGAAAATGATAGCCACCTGACACCGTGTCGCCCAGTCCACCAGCTATACCAACTGTGAAGGTTTTAAGAACTTGCTTCCGAAAAAGTCTTCTTCGCAAGTGGTGTGTCTTATTTTACATCCATGATATGTTGTGGGTGGTCTGGAGAAGTTGCCTGGGGTTTATAGTTGATGCTGGACAGTGTCTTGTCTCTTCAGCTGTCCTAGGGCACTGATTTCCCCTCAGGTCCTTAGCGGAGCTGCCCCACCCCTCTGGGTGAACATTGTGATGAAAGGTTTGAGGGATTAGTAACAAACCAGGAGGAGTAAAATGAGATATGAGGGTGGAGAGACGACTCAGCCAGGAAAGCTGCTTGTTACCAAGCTTGACAACCAGAGTTTGAACCCCACACCCACCCTGGTGGAAGGAGAGAAAAGAGTCCTGCAAGTTGTCCTCTGATCTCAACACATGCGTTATGGAAAGTGCACACACACACACACACAGACACACACACACACACGTTAAAATAGAAACAAATGGAGTTTGTTGAAAATGCCAGTGGGATTGAAAGTTCTCAGAACATAAGAAGCCAGACATTTTATGCAGGGATCACATCTTTCATGTTTTATTTTCTCTTTGTTTTTCCCCTTTGTGTGTGTTCTCTGCCTTTTCCCTAGAAAAGCTGCAGCAGTGAGAACAGTTGATGACTATCATAGAGAGGAGGAACTACTTCTTAGATCAACTGACAACTCCTTAGGCGGAGAGACCTCTATGGGAGGACACGTGACATAGATCATGAAAACATGGAAACGCGACATCATGACTACGCAGAAGCAAAATATCCATCCAGATCTTTCTGACCCATTCCTGCTCTTGCTTTCCGTTCTGCGTGTTCATGTGGCCTTCAGTCTTTTCAGAGTTCTGAATTCAAGCATCTACTATTTGAATATGAACTTTCTGCCTATTTCTACAGTTCAGAGCTTTTCTGGGTTTCCGTAGATTCTTGTATTATTATTACTGCTATAAGAAAATGCACTTTTTCATATTGAGTCAGAGTCATTAAGTTTGAGAGTTGTTAGTTTTAACAATTTAAAATTGAGCAGAAAATGGAGCAACTCTCACCTGGAGCTTCCTTGACTTTTTAGCTCACACTATTACTTTGTCTTAATCTATTTTTTCAAGTTGGGGCATCCTAATTTTTGAACTTAATCTGAATATAGTAAATAGACTTGATTATTCGACTTTCTCTTTTCAAATCAAATATAAATTTATTGTAGCTTCGTTTTGTAATTTTGAGATGAGGTTTCCCGTAGCCCAGGGAGCCCAGGCTGATCTCAAATTGGTCACGTAGCCAAAGAGAACCTTGCATTTCTGATCCCTTTGCCTTCACCTTCAGGGTGTTGGAATTACAGGCATGCACCACCACATTTGGTTTATGTGGCACCGGGAATTAAACCCAGGGCCTCAAACATGATTAAGAGAACATACTAGTACCTCAACTGTGCCCCCAGACCACATTATGATGTTTGTCATCCTTTCTGAAGGTACTTGAACTAATTTTGAGGCAAGCTTGTACCAGGGCATTTTGACTAGTGTAGTAATTAAATCAGTCATAGTCACAATTGAGCACTCCAGCCTATGTTTAATAATGTCTTATGAACTTATTTAATGTTCTGTCTTCTATAAGACTAAGTGTCATTTTGCTCATCTTTCCAGATGAGGGTGGTCAGGTGGGTGGGAGAATATTGGGGTCCAGGAGATTTCAGGATCAGACTTCCAGGCAAATAAGATGTAATAACTGTATAGTGAATTTCCCAAGTGCTAGCTTTATGTTTTGGGTTTTGTATGAAAAATACATTGTCCTGCATTTTAACTGGTATCTGTCTTTTTATGTCTTTTATACCTGTACTGTAATTGGTAACAATATTATTTGGTTCTGAATAGTATTTATTTGCTACTGTCTGAGCACAGGACAGACTGTTCATTAAAACTGAATACAGATTATTTCTTAAAGAGTTTTAAAGCCTCAGTAAGTGACTTACTTTGAGAATTTCCTTAACTTCCTCTGCTTCATACATGGTTTTTGTCCAAGATCCAGGAAGACTTTAGAGGTGGAAAAATCGGCGTTGAAAATACTCACAGGTTGCTTGAAAAATTTGATATTCGTTGCAACTTTGCTCACGTGAAACAAATTTTTAAGGTGAGATGATACCCTCTCCCTGTCTGCTCCAATCTAGGAGGGATTTGCTACAGTGTAAGTAGACATTAGTAGATATTTGGGTGCTTCTTTAGGAAGTACACACGGGGCTGGAGAGATGGCTCACTGGCTAAATACACTTACTGTTGTTGTAGAGGACCTGTGTTCGGGTCCCAGCATGCACACAGTGCCTCACTTTAGTTCCACTCAGGTGCCTTTAAGTTTGTGGCACACATACACACACTCAGGTACATAAATAAGTGTTTAAATATACATGCGGAAAATCAGTATCTTAGGAACGGAATACAGATATGGCTACTAAGTTTTGAAATGATACCAGGACATTGGCTTGAAATTTACTGAGTGCATAGAAATTGTCACACCAGATCCAGGAAAAAGATCAACATTAGGACGACTGAACTAGGATTAAATATAAAAAGTGAATGGTAGTGGCTTTTTGCTTGATTGTTTATTTCGTTTTGTTTTTTGTTTTTGACATAGAAGAAACAAATCTAGAAGGAACACAATACTAAAGATTGACAAAAATGCTGCTTGTGGGAGTGTCTCTAATCTTATTTGGGAGCCTGAGGAAGGAAGATCAAGAGTTCAGTTTGGTCCTACTCTGAACTATATAAGATCTCCTTTATGAAAAGAAAAAAATAATAGACAATAATCACAGTAATTAATTAAATAGTTGGCAAATCCTTAGCAAGACAGGAAGAAAAAGAGAGAAGACAGAAATGAGTAGATTTTTAAACAAAAGAGGAGACATTACAACTGGCCCCACAGAAATAAAGAGCACCATGAGGGAAACACCACATAGCTGCAGATCGACTAGATTATAGAAAATGGAAAAATAACTAAATTCACACAGCCTACAAAATCTGAATCAAAAGGAATTAGAAAACTTGAATAGATCAACAGTAAGAAACAAAACAAAACAAGACCCCTAGTCATTAATAACGTGAAATAATCAACAAAGAAAAACCCAGCCAAATGACTTTGTAGGTGAAGATTTCAAAGGGATCAAGACACATCCCTTTTTAACTGAAGAGGAAATGATTATAATGCTATTTTATAAATACAGAGAAATCATGGTATGGAAGCTGAATGTGGATATCACAAGACATGTTTGATGAACACAAATTCAAAATTTCTCAGCAAAATATTAGCAAGCCAAATTTAATAACCCCCAAGAAGGAGTCTATGCCATGACCAGATGGGATTTTCTGCTTACATGCAAGGATGGTTCAATATACAGAATCTACTCTCATTAACAAAATGAATGATAAAATAAAATTACCTGATTGCCTTATAAAAATGAACACCTTTTTTCCAATCTAAAAATAACTCTTAGAACTGGAGAGATAATTTAGTATGAAGGGCACTTGACCTGAGGACCTGATTTTGGATCTTTAACACTCTTGCAAAAATCCAGAAATGGTAGTACAAGCTTGAAATCCCAACACTGGGGATGTAGGGACAGAAAGATCCCTGAGGCTACCCGACTAGATAGTCAGTGAGCCCCCATTTTCATGACGAGTTCCTATCTAAAAACAATGTGGAGAAGTGACTAAGAAAGACACCTATTTCTGAACTTTGCCTACAAGCACACATGTGTATATGGGTACCCACATGTGTACCTACACACTCACATCCATATGACCATGTACACATCCATATACACACACAGTTGTCAAGGAAAGAAATGATCTCAAGACAGCAAAGTTCATATATGAAAAACCAACATACATAGTGATAAAAACAGAAAACCAGAAACAAAAGACACAAAAATGAAACCAAAACAAAAATCTAAACAAACAAAGAAGAAAGCTCTCAAGCTGATTTTCCTTTGTGCGCTGGAACAAACAAAGGTTCCCATCTCAACTCTTCTACTTTAAAACTCTAAGAGTAAGACATGCCAGCCACGGAAGCTAGTTAAGACAAAGAAAGAAAGCATGTTTAAGTTGGAATGGCAGAAGTAAAATGGTCTCTAGTCGTCACAGATGATCTTATGTGGAAAAAACATGAAGGACTCTGTCAAAAAAAATCTATCAGCATAAATTCAGCAAATTGGCAGGACACAGCATCGGGACAGCATTGGGTGCAAAAACCATTGCCTTTCTACTCACCAGCAGTGAATCAAGCCAGAATAAACCAAGAAAACAGTTTCATTTCTATTAATATCAAAATGAATAATGTACCTAAGAATTAATTTATCTCAGGAGATAAAACACTTGTTCAAGACTATGAAACACGAACAAAAGAAAATTTAAAATATAGAAATAAATTGAAACATTTTATGTTGATGTGTTCATTTTGACAAAGGCAATCTACAGATTCAGGGCAGTTTCTGTCTCTCTCCCCCGCTCCAAATAGTGAGAAAAAAAAGCTTACAATTCTAATTGGACTAAAGAAGACCTTCCTTGTATAACCAACATATCTTGAGAAAGACCAAAGCTGTAGCATAGGTGTGCAAGAAAATGAAACAAGAGTGAGATCCCTGAGATAAACTGTTCTTACACTGTCTGTGGTCTTCGGGGGAGAAGCTAAGCACACTCAGTGGCTTAGGAGAGTCTCCTCAATGAGCAGCAGAGAGAAG